CTGTCCCGATTCCCATTTAGCCTGGACCCGTACGGAAGCTCATGTCGACTAAATAATCTCTGTCCCGGTGGGAAATCGAGCACGACAGTCGGAGCAGTACGCCAACGACCTGTCTACTGTGCCACTACGGCTTGTTCAAGGTAAATGGGGTCAGTGTAAGTACTAACAGCTGCAGGTTTTTCCGATGAACAACAAAGAGCCTAATCGATTGTTTGTTCCGTGGTAAAGCTTGTTTGTTCCGTGATAAATCTCTTGAGCTTTCTGTTATGTTTATTTATGTTTTTTTAAAGCTTCAGTTGATAACAGGCGGTGACAGGTGTATGCAACACCATCATCATGTTCCACGTAAATACACACGCTCCTCTTTATACGTTGTATCAGTATGTTATTTTGTGATCCCCCCCCCCCCCCCAGTTGATTCAGTTCATGATTCTGCCGCCTGTGCCTCCGCCATATTTTCACCACATCATTAGCCAGCTGTGGTGTAGCGGCTAGATGCTTGCCTGCGGATCAGAAGGTCGTGTTCGGGTCGTGACGGTAAAAAAAAATTGACTTTGCCTTGAATGGATATCAGGTGAAGTCCTAGAAAGTAAAAACACCAGCATAATGCTGACCACACCCACCAAGTGCCTACTGGTCGATAAAATATAGGTCTATCTCTGTGTGTCCGATACGCCCGACCCACGGAGTGGAAAAGCGTCCTTTTTATTGGCTATCTAGCATTGGAGCCTTAGCTCAGATCTGTGTATGCGGCGATTATGCCGGTTAGGTAAGATCGCCTATAATATTGATCGTTTTCCCTTGATCTTATCACCTTTGTCCATTTAATAAATCACACAACACACCACAAATTACGACTATGTCTGAATCCTGAGAGGGAGCTTGGGTGGGAGGGGGTAAAGCCACGCAAAAATATGTCCAGACTTTTTGACCCAAAATCTTTATGATAAAACAAAACAAAAGACATCATTGCTTACAAAAACAGAAGGTCACTGGTCGATAACGCATTAAAAAAAAAAAAGATACAGGAAGAGTGAGTGAGTGACTTTCAAACTTTCAACCCCACCAGGACCGCACAATGAGCGATAAACAGCTGGTGACACAAAATACCACTTTTCGGATGAGAATAACCAGGCCACGTCCCAGAAACCCTGTTCAACCGTTAGGTTATATTAGGACCCCCACAACAGTCAAGATGGGTTTTACAGGAAGAGCTATTGTGAAACAAAACATAAGCCAGATGTCAGTCACTTTTCAGGTTCATATTTCTTCACATAAACCAAAAACAGCTGAGCTGGCTGTGTTTAATACCTGTATTAATAATTTTTAGGGCGGTCTAGACCGCGCTTGAAAAAATAAGGCCCCGTTGCTAATGCACTCGCCACGAACTGTGCAGGTGAGGAATTCCATTTTCACACTAAAGACAGAAACCAATCTCCCTCTCTTACTGATGATTAGACGACCAACTTCGGGTATTCCATATAAGAATCAAGTATTTAAACAGTAAGTATCAGTGAGACGACAAAAGAAGAAGAAGAAGAAGAAGAAGAAGAAGAAGAAAGAAAGAAACCAGAAGAAAAAGAAGAAGAAGAAAGAAACCAATCTGATAAGGACTGTAATATGAGTACATCAAGGAGAAGAAGAACAAAAGACAAACAGTTTCATCAAAGAACGACTATTTGTGCATGACCAAGCACTAATTGCTACTTCAGAAACAGAACTGCAGGACAATATAAATGATATAAACCAGTTTTGCAAGGAGCGTAACATAAACATTAACAAAACAGAAACATGACCATAGTCGAAGTAGACAAAAACAATAAATATCCAGCTTACAGAAAACTCCGAAACAAACCAAAAACTTCAAATACTTAGCATAATATTATCAGTCAGTAAAATAGAAGATGAGATTGATGTAACAAAGCAAAACAAATCACTGGGCAAATGGCACCAATACTAAGAAACAAACAAATTTCAGTAGAAACCTGAAAAGCAGTCTGTAACAGTCTTCTTATCTTGTGTTACCTGTGCTAGACCTGGACAATGACAGAAAAAAGAGAAGAAAAATTACAACTGAAATCAGATTCCTATGAAGGGCTCTAAATATAATAGGAACAGATAAAATCAGGAATGATGAAATCTGAAGGGGAATAGGGTTAGCAGCAGATCTGAATTTCATTACAAGACAACAGGTGAAAGGGTTTGGCCATGTAACGCAGATGTCAGCAAACAATATACCACAGCAAACAGTAATGTACAGACCGGGCAGTAATAGGCTGACCATGCAAATGATGGATAGAAGCAATAGCAGAGTCCCTGAAAATCCCTATTTATAAAACACACAAACAGGCACTTTCCCATAAATTATACTTTATCTCGACAACACAAGGTACCAGGTGATCAAGATGAGTTGAGACTGTTATAATTTTTTGTGTGAAATTACAGTGACGATAACAACATAAAGACTGGAAGTCCGTCTTCTCCAGATATCGCTGACAAACGGAAGCAGTTTATCACACTGAGGTATGCTATCTTCTCTTTTATGATATAGTTTTTCACACTAAGTTATCTTTTCTTATCTTTCATGATACAGTCTATCGTGCTGAGGTATCTCATTTTTAAGGATGTAGTTTATCACTCTGAGGTATCTTTATTTTTTGTGATAGTTTATCACACTGATTTAATTTTATCTGTAATCACACTGAGGTATATTATTATCTTACTGATTATAATATAGTATATCATGCTGAATTATCTTTATCTATCTTTCATGATGTCTTTTATCACATCTTATCTTTTGTGACATAGTTTCACAGACTGAGGTATCTTATCTTATCTTTTAGGATGTAGTTTACCACACAGGATTATCTTTATATTTTATGATATAGTCCATCACAATGAGGTATCTTTATCTTTTATTGTATAGTTTATCACATCGAAATATCTTATTTTTTATGATATAATTTATCATGCTGTGGTATCTGATCTGTTATGATATAATTTTATCACAATGAGATATCCTATCTTTTTTTAAATATAGTTTATCACACTGAGGTATCTTTATCTTTTATGCAATAGTTTAAAAAAACAGTCTTGTAAAGTGTAGAAGAGTGTTCACTCTCATTTATACATACACAATCACTCATTCATAAACACTCATTCATAAACACTCATTCATATTTACACTTACTCATATAGCTGTTTAAGAATGGCTGGCCTAACCTTTATCTTTGTGCTGTGTGATGCAGGTGTTCAAGGCAATGAGCATGCAGACCAGCTTGTAGATATTGTGGTTGCTATGACTGGCTCAGTACTAGACAGAAGCGATGGTATCAGTGCTATGGGCAACACTTACCCTGATCAGGAGTATGGCAAAGGGCATGACTGTATAACCCTGTCCAGGCTGATGGTTATGGGGGTACAATCTGGAGCTGCTAGAGATGAGAACATTTCGCCAAGAGGAGGAGGAGATCTGAACACCTGTGGTTCTGTCCAGAGGGCCGTGATGATAATCCTTAGTAGTTTGTCACTCATATACACACTTACATACACCATACACTCACTAATTCATAGACATGCTTACTCACTCATACACTCACTCATTCATAGACACACTCACCAATATATACACATGCACTCACATACACACAGGTACACACCCACGCACACACAAACTTGCATACATCCTCATCTACACTCCTTCATCAATTGAGCTATTTTCTCATCAGGAAGAACAAATTTGACCTGGCAGAGAAACAGTTAATGCAATCAGCTTCATCAACATCTTCACCTAAATGCCAATGTGGGGGCAGAGACCAGTCTTCAGACACTTCAGGTAGGTAACCTTTGACCTCAGGTACAAATAATTAAAACCTTGGATACTGTGGGCAACCTTGAGAAGTAATGGTGGGTGGACACACTTTGCAGTTGCTGGGACCAGAAGGGAAGGCAAAAAACAGTCATACTCTAACCCAATGGTTTTCTACCTTATGAAAAGGGGGGGGGGGGGGAACTTCCAAATAAGATAATAATAATAAAAACATATTTTAAGAAACAACATAAAGCCAGTTACATTTTTGTTTTTACAAGCAGTTTAAACATCTACCATTAAAATCTAATTAATAGGAAAACACAGTATTTGGTGCTTAAATCTTTTTTTTGTGTGTCCCCCTCTTTTTAATCACATTTTGTTGAAGTTGGTAGAGACTGGCTGAATGGTTAGAATGCTAGGCTCTTAAGTGGGAGACCCGGGTTTGAATCCTCGGTAAGGCTGGAGATTTTTTCTGTAGGGGCAAAGTAAAATCCTCCCCTGCACAGTCATGGCGACAACACTAGCCATGCGGCCATAAATCCTCAGACTCAAACCCCCCTGCCTACACAGCATATGTGGTATCACAAAGGAAGTAATTAGCAGTTTTTGTATGAGTGTGTGGTAGTGGGGGGATGTTTCCATATATAAGTGGGTTGTGTGCGGGCCACCTGATAAAGGTTGGCATCCTCTCTGTAACCTATCAAATCATAATGGGTAACTATGGAAGGTTGGTGTGGGATGGGCTAGTGCATCCAGTCGGAAAACGTGGCTGCAGCATCCTGGCAATCGTAAGCAAGTTTGTTCTCCTTAAGCAGTATGAGTAAATATATAGTTACACTGTTTCATTCCTACATAAATATTAACACCTGTGAAATAAGATGCCTGAGGAAAGTTGCCAACTTAACCATTCAAGGCATTCTTAGAAATGATACTGTCAGACAGAATAGGGGAACAACACAGTGCACCAAATCCATTGAGTAGCAGAAGTCAAAATGGTTTGGTCATCTTGTTAGAATGCAGCCAGCACCACTGCCAGTACAGGTGCTACATATGAAAAGATCTGATATGAAAGCAAGAGGTTATCCATGAAGGAGATGGATTGATGACTTTGAAGAGCTACAAATTGTGACAATAGCATTGCTTTCCATCAAGCAGTGGATTGCAAACTCTTCATTCCCCATGCGGCTTAATGGCAAAAGGGGAAATGGATAATGGTGATAATGATTGTTTCATTTCTTTCAAACAAATTTTAAATACATTCTCAGAAAGTCCTCTGCGAAATCACAACAGTGCTCCTCACTTTCATCGTTCGATGTCTTCTTGGGATGACACAGACAGCAGGGCTGTACATGTCCGACCAGAGATGTTTGAATATCCGTTTGAGAATCTCATCTTTGAAGGTGGTGGCAACAAAGGTCTGGCATACTGTGGAGCTATTCAGGTCAGTTAAATCTGATTAGTGCATTTCCTTTGTTGATTCACAATCTGCTGATTATACAAATTATGTAATATTATCTGTGTCCGTGAATGTCTTTGATTTAACCAGAAGAAAATTATCTAGATTCCTCAACATTGGTTTCTGTGCAGTTTTTGAAGTATATTTATTTTCTTCCACTCACGGTTGATTTCAGTTGTGTTATTTCTTCTAGAGTTGAGATGTGTCATTTATTCTAGAGCTGAACTGCATTATTTCTTCTAGAGTTGATTCATGTTATTTCTTCTAGAAATGAATTATGTTTTTTCTTCTAGAGTTGAGATGTGTTATTTCTTCTAGAGCTGAATTGCATTATTTCTTCTAGAGTTGATTCATGTTATTTCTTCTAGAAATGAATTATGTTTTTTCTTCTAGAGTTGAGATGTGTTATTTCTTCTAGAGCTGAACTGCATTATTTCTTCTAGAGTTGATTCATGTTATTTCTTCTAGAAATGAATCATGTTTTTTCTTCTAGAGTTGAGATGTGTTATTTCTTCTAGAGTTGAACTGCATTATTTCTTCTAGAGTTGAATCATGTTTTTTCTTCTAGAGTTGATTCATGTTATTTCTTCTAGAGTTGAGTCATTTTATTTCTTCTAGAGCTAAAACATGTTATTTCTTTTAGAGCTGAGTTGTGTTATTTCTTCTAGAGTTGATTCATGTTATTTCTTCTAGAGTTGATTCATGTTATTTCTTCTAGAGTTGAATCATTTTATTTCTTCTAGAGTTAAGTTTGATTATTTCTTCTAGAGTTGATTCATGTTTTTTCTTCTAAAGCTGAGTTGCGTTATTTCCTCTAGAGTTGAGTCATCTTGTTTCTTCTAGAGTTGATTCATGTTATTTCCTCTAGAGTTGAATCATGTTATTTCTTCTAGAGTGGAGTCGCATTATTTCTTCTAGAGTTGAGTTGAGTCATGTCATTTTTTCTAGTTCTGAGTCATGTTATTTCTTTTAGAGCTGAGTTGTGTTATTTCTTCTAAAGATAAGTCATCTTATTTCTTCTAGAGTTGGTTCATGTTTTTTTTTCTAAAGTTGAGTTGAGTTGTATTAAGAACCAATATCACTGCTCTGGTCCTTCCTATTAGCCTTCCCATAAGCTCTCTGACATCATCTTCAGCAGCCAGCACAGAGTTCCAGTTCCAATCCTACTAGCAGCGGTCTGATTGTATGTCTATCTTGTCTTTCCTCTGAGTGCCATGCGTCAGTCAGATCTCCTGGTCACTGTCCACGGCATCATTGCAGACTGCAGTGATCTGTTTGTGTGTGTTTTTGCACTGTTCACTTGTTTCTAAAGGGTCTTGACCACATCTAGCTGACCATGCAACAGTTTACCACCCAGTGATGCAGGACCAGAACCCCTCAATCTTGCTGCTGTAGTTCTCACATCTACAAGTTTATTTTATGAGCTTACTGCATGTTGTGCCAAACTGAAGGTTTTGAGTTTTTTCTTCTTTAAAACTAACCTTGGCTTCCTGGTTGACGCACCTTATAATTGGTACTAGGTAATTTCCTGCAAACTTAGGGTAGCTGATGTGGTGTTGGCCACATCTAACATCAAGGACATATCCATCTATAAAAACATGAGTCAGAATCACATACCTGATGTGCCACTGGTATGAAAAGACCCTACCCTTTACTGTTTGTTTAAAATCTGTTAAAGTATACAGCGTAATGTTTACTAGTGTACCCATCAAGTGCTGACTAAAATTTCTTCTTCTTCTTAATGTTCTTTTTCTTCTTCTTATCTTCTTTTCTGTACTCCTTCACAGCATCAAGGCAGGAAGAGATCTCTGGAATGGGCCTCACTGTTCACATCATATGTAGTACTTTTCAATGTCTGTGATATTTCTGTGGTCCACATTCTGCATGGTTGACCTGGCTTTGTTATCACTGTCTCAGCATTAACCAGCTGTAATTTCTGGTGGAAAGTTCTAGTCTTTCATCCATCTCTGCAATTTAGTGGTCTTGACTCAGAACTTGAGTTTTGCATTCACATCCGTTTTAAAAATCGGGATTGTTTGTATGCACACTGTTGGTTCCTTACCTGTCAGGCAGATTAGATTTACTCTGTTTGAAGGAAAAACCCTTAATTTGTCACCTCCTAGGACATGCTTGTTAGAGAGACAGTGGGCCAGAAAAGTAACCCAGATGTTTTGAAAAAAGGTGAGGGCTTGAGGGCAACTTAGCACAAATATCAGAAGGAGACAGTGACCATGTTATGAGAAGAAACTACAACATGTTGGGACTACTGGAAATATTGTGGCAAGAAAGACAGAGAAAGAAAACAGGAAAGATTCTTGACAGTCTTTTGTCATGGCATTAAAGGATTTCAACTTAGAAGCTAATAACACATGCTGTCGGAGACTGCAAGTTGTGGAGAGTGGTGATCGGCGACACTTGTTAGCATGGCACTTAGTGGTGGTGATGATGATTTTTGGCTCTCGGATATATTTAAAACTATCCTTTTTTTTCAGTAAGAATTCAAATTACAATACAGAATTTAAGAAAAAAATTATTCTACTATGTTCTCATGTTGACAACTTTTTCTTTCTTAGTGTTTGGAGGACATGAACATCTTGCCAAATATTAAACGGGTTGGTGGAAGTAGCGCTGGAGCCATAACTGCTACTTTAGTAGCTCTGGGATACACTTCCAAGGACATCTATGCCTTTATGTCAGATAATGTTGAGGAAATCTTTCTAGGTAAGATCACCTTTTTGATAAGATCACCATCTTCTTTGATGAGACCATCATCTTCATTGGTAAGATCACCAGCTTCTTTGATGAGATCATCATCTTCTTTGATGAGACTACATCACCTTCCTGAGTGAGATCACCATCTTCCTGTATGTGTTAACCATTGTCCTTCATGTTTACTAGCTGTAAACTCTGGCAGAAAGTTCTAGTTGTTCACCCACATCTGGGCTGTAGTCCTGTTTCATAACCTGAGTGGTGCATGTGCATCTATTTTAAAATCTGACTCATTCACATACAGACTGTTGGTTCCTTGCCTCTTAGGCAGATACGCTCTACTTCAAAGAAAGCTCCCAATAAATCAACTCTAATGACTCGTATATCTTATGACATGCTTTTTTGGTAGGCAGTGGGTCTGTTCTTGTTTTTTCTTTAACAGAGCTCTGGAACTCACACAGGGAATATAGTATGAAATGAATAAAGAAGAAAAAAGAATCATATATTAATGAGTGTTGTAATGCCGTTGTTCCAGATCATTCCTGTGGGTACTTAAGCTTGATCCCCAATCTGCTGCGACGCTGGGGCTGGAATCCTGGACACAAAATCTTCAAGTGGTTCGGGGACAGGATCAAAGCACGAACAGTCACCAATAATCCAGATCTGACTTTTTATGAGGTACGAATAAAAGAAGGAACGAACAAAGAAACTTTTTTTTTTCCAAAGGGGGAAACAAATTGGGCACACAAGCCCGTCTTACATTCAGCCTTTCTAAGCATTAATCTTTCAGACCACAATTGCATGTTATTAGTAATGCATGTTATGTCTGTATAAAAATATATGTAATGAAATAATGAATATACACATCATATGTGCACAATCATTTACACTTAAAAATACACACTTACACATACTCTGACGTGCTGATACATACGTAGACACATACACACTCATATACATACACTCACATGCTTGCATAAAGACACACACACACATACAGAGAGAGAGAGAGAAAGAGAGAGAGAAACTACTAGTAGAAACTACTAGAACATCGTCAAGCGCTACCTGTGTGCTAAGTGTTGACTTATTCAATCTTCAGCACTCTCGGACACGTCTTCGGTGCATTTATATAAATTTTTCTCAAGTCCTATTTATCTATGTTTTTTTAATCCACATGTTACAGTGTTTTCTAATGTGTGGGTTCCAGGGCCCTAATTTTTTTTTTGGGGGGGGGGGATGGGTGGGATGTAGACCTACTGCCCCCCCCCCCCCCCTTTTTTTTTAAAGCATGTCATAGAAGTCAACTAATTAGGGGTGTTTCCTTTGAAGTTGGAGTGCATCTACTTGAGAGGTAGGAAGTCTACAGTCTCTTATAAATAAGTCAGTTCTGTTAAATGGATTTGCGTGCAAAATTCAGGTTCAGGAATGAAACCAAAGTCCAGAAGTGGATGAACAACTAGAACTTTTTGCCGGAGTTTACAGCTGGTGAATGTTTAGAAGAAGAAATAGACATTGCTTTCTTTTTACACTCTTCTTGTCTATTGTTCCTTCCATCCATTAACAGGGAACTATATGTCTTTAAACAGCTAGAGTATTTTATCTGGCCAGGATCTCATCCTGTAATATTTTCTTTAGTCTCAGTTTGTGAAATATATTGAAAAATGTTCTATTCATCCCATGGAAATCATTTTATTCATCTCCATGAGGATCATCACTGGACTGCTGAGTTCATACCTTTGGGATGCTCTTGGCACACAACTAGCCATTTTCTGGAACTTCACCAAGCCATGGGGGAGGAACCGTAGTGCAATAAACTTGATCCTCTCACCTGTAACCTTTTAATCTTTGATATTCTCACCAATGCTAAACTATCAGTGTCAAACATGGACACTGTTTTTAGAAGACAGATGGAAAATAGTAATGTTAGAAATGAAATGTTCATGTACTATTTATTATAAGTGTAATGAAGATAGGTCGACTTAGAAACAATGATATCAGGAAAAGAGTTGGCACAGAACCAATGATGAACTTTATTGGTAGATAACAAATCAAACAGTTTGGCCATGTAACCATTGGCATCAGACAGGGCACCACAGAGAGCAATGTTATACAAATACAGCAGCAACAGAGCCAAAGTCAACCACGCAGAAGTTGGACCGCAGAAATATCAGAGACACTGAAAGGTACTTTATACGAAGCAAACAGAAGGGTTTGTGCCAGAGACACTGCGAGGCATTCCAGGAGTAGAAAAAAGAAGATGAACCTTTCATATTTTTAAAGACCAGTTAGCACTTTGTGAGTGACATGGCCAAACATTACACCAAATGCAGAAGAAACAGGCTGATTTATTTGTGTACTACATTTTTGTTTTCTGCATCTGTGTAAACTTTTGAAATTGCGTTTCAGTTGTACAAAGAGAGGGGAGTAGAACTGTGTGTGGTTGTAACCAACCTTAACCAAATGAGGTCAGAATATTGCCACCCGAAGACCACCCCTGATATGCCTATAAGAGAAGCCTTACGCATGTCTATGTCAATCCCAGGTAAAGTGTGGCTCGATTCTGTATGTTCAGGTCTGACCTAGGGAAAGTCTTGCAAGATTCTGTATGGCCAGGTCTGACCTAGGTAAAGTCTTGCTAGATTCTTTATGTCCAGGTCTGTCCTAGGTAAAGTCTTGCTAGATTCTTTATGTCCAGGTCTGTCCTAGGTAAAGTCTTGCTAGATTCTGTGTGTCCAGGTCTGACCTAGGTAAAGTCTTGCTAGATTCTGTATGTCCGGGTCTGACCTAGGTAAAGTCTGGCTAGATTCTGTATGTCCAGGTCTGTCCTAGGGAAAGTCTTGCTGGATTCTGTATGTCCAGGTCTGACCTAGGTAAAGTCTTGCTAGATTCTGTATGTCCAGGTCTGTCCTAGGTAAAGTCTTGCTAGATTCTGTATGTCCAGGTCTGACCAAGGTAAAGTATTGCTAGATTCTGTATGTCCAGGTCTGACCTAGGTAAAGTCTTGCTAGATTCTGAATGTCCAGGTCTGTCCCAGGAACAGTCCTGCTAGTTTGTGAATGTCTATACCTGTTGCTGGTAAAGGCTCGATAGCCTGTGAAATATAGTTTATATTGCTAGTCTCGCAAAGGCATGTACAATAAAAGAAATTAGGTAAAAATAAATTACAAAAATTCTTCCTCTTCTATCCTTTATTTTCTCCATTACAGCATATGTCCTCAACCAACTCATATCTCACTGATCTCCATTACAGCATATGTCCTCAACCAACTCATATCACACTGATCTCCATTACAGCATATGTCCTCAACCAACTCATATCACACTGATCTCCATTACAGCATATGTCCTCAACCAACTCATATCACACTGATCTCCATTACAGCATATGTCCTCAACCAACTCATATCACACTGATCTCCATTACAGCATATGTCCTCAACCAACTCATATCACACTGATCTCCATTACAGCATATGTCCTCAACCAACTCATATCACACTGATCTCCATTACAGCATATGTCCTCAACCAACTCATATCACACTGATCTCCATTACAGCATATGTCCTCAACCAACTTATATCACACTGATCTCCATTACAGCATATGTCCTCAACCAACTCATATCACACTGACAAAGCGAAAAATATTTGTTCAGAAGAATCAAAAGTACTATAAATATTTATTTGTCAGTTCTTTTGATAATATTAATGACTTGACATGAGTTGGTTGAGGGCCTATGCTCCATTGGGGGTTAGAAAGGCAGAAGAAGAAGATGTTTAATGTTACATTTAGTCATATAAGTTATCTATTTGGCCAACTTGTTTCATCTACTGAGGCTTTTCGATGAAGACAACACATGCGCATACACACACACACACACACACAGAGAGAGAGAGAGAGAAGGGAGGGGGGAGGGGGGGGGGGGGGGTTCCTCCAAGTATAACATTCAAAGCCAGGAAATTTATGGAAGGGAGCAGAGAAAGAAAGGAGATGTCATTCCAACTCATTTTTTTTATGTTGTCTAGAATATATGATTCCCCTTTGTGGGTTCTGAGAACCCATTTCAAGGAGAAATAAAAGGAATAGATGCCTTCCCCACCCCCCCCCCCCCCCTTTCCCCCTCCCAATTTCTCCAATGGCATATCATATAAACGACAAGTATTTAGAGGTTTCTGAAAACAGCTATGGTTGTGCTATAAGGCACAGATATCACAGCCTAGCTGTAAGCCACAACACAACATTTCAACTGTCAGTTTAAGGGCAAATGTGAAAGAAGAGGGAGAATATGCGATAGCCTTGTGTCTCAGAAATTAAATATTTCCGCATCTGCCATTGGTTAATATTTTATTTCTAGTTGAATTTGTTATAACAATCGCAAATTATTTTTTTTATAATCTTGAAATCCAGGAGTCTTTATGGCTTGCATGTATGACAACTATGGGCAGAAGGATGCATATGTTGATGGAGGAGTCCTGTGTAATTACCCCATTCATTGCTTTGATGGTAAGTAAGCAGTCTCTGGTTACTTCTTTTAAAGAGGAGTTTACTCTTCTAGCTGCTTCTTGTTTGTACTGTGGGAGTTATTCTTTCTTGTTCTTGTATGCTCTCTTTGATGCTGGAGTGTAGCTTGGTTTTCTTTTTCTTCTGAAATTTTAATTAACATTCTTCAGGTAAAATTTAGGTAAAGGTACAAATAGTATCCATCATTATCATGCCTGTCGTAAGAGGCATCCAAGGAAGGTTGGTATGAGGGGTGCTATCGCATATATACCTTTAGCTGCAAAATGCAATCATGAAAATGTCTGCATAACGTTTTGCATGAGTTGGGAGCTTATGCTCCACTAAGAGATTAAAGACAGAAGAAGAAGATACTGGTATCTTATCCCTCAACTTTTTTGGTCCCTTACAAGATATCATATGTTTATGTTTATTCAATGGATCAACATGGTGGCCCATGGGTGTAACCCATTAGTGCTCTGTTCTGAGCCTGAGTCTGTAGAATCTCAGTGCAGTGCCTGAACTCTGTAGCACCGGTGAGGATCCCGAAATACTTTGGGAAGATTTTAAACTCCAAATTTTGCCCGGGCAGCGCTGTTAGGCTAATATTTTTATTTCCAACTACCAAGGTATTTTTTATGTGCTCAACAACACACATGGATGTCTGGTCTTACTGCCTAGAGACGAGGGAAAATTGCTAGAAGTCCATGTGAAAAAATCCCCGCCTCCACCTAGATTTGAACCCAGGACCTCCAGCACATGAGCCAGATGCCATACCTCGAGCCAACTCAAGATATCATATGTGATCTGCTATTGTCTATGTGTATTTCAGACAGCGCCTGGTTTTTATTTTATCTTGTACTTTTTACCTGACCATCATAAAGATATCCGGTCATAAAGATATCCGGCTAGACATTTTAGCAAAATAGCACACCATATGTTGCCAGTTTAAAATTCATAAACTCATTCTTTTTATGATGTGGGTGTAGTTGCACTTGAGAATCTGTTGCAAAATATTCTGAGACTGAAAGAGTTCAAAGTTAAAGCTATAATTGTTACTGTACTGTCTTACAGGCTGGTTCTTATCTATGGACACTGATGATTCCTTTCTTCTGAAGATGCAGAACCTCAATGATTTGCCACAAAAATGGTCCGTCAAGAATACATTTGGGGAAAGAAACAAGAAAACTGTAGGGTTTTTATTGGTAAGATGTAGTTTTCATGTGCGCAGATTTTGTATGTTTGTGTGGATATGTCTATTTTGTGTATGTGCATATATCTTATTTACAGCACTCATAGACCATACTGGAGGGAAAAGTTGAAGGCAAAAGTGGTACAAGTGGGAGGATCACATTGAGAGCTGGATGTACAGCAGTCTCAGAGAGTGTACAGCCAGGATAAAAGAGTTTGTTGGAGATCTAGTTTAGCCAAATCATAGAGAGATGAAACCAAGGAGGAAACACCTGGAAGGAAAAGGCAAGAAGAACACAGCTAACAACTGGACAGAGAAGGAGCAATCTGAATTGAAGGAAGGAAGCATCAAGCCCAAACACGGTGCAAACACTAAAAACGTAGTCACGAAAGTGATGCAAATAATCCAGACCACAAATATAGACGGAGACTGTTTGCAGCTTCGGCTAGCTAGCAGCAGTCTGAAAGTGGTCGACCTTTTAATTTTTTTCACAAAAGGAATCGGAAGATCCAGTGTGGTCAAGCTGCATTGTGGAGATGATTACCTGATTGATATTGTTTTAATGTAGGTTATTTATAACCTGAGTGAACTAATATGCTGCTAATCTCCTTCCTCTGCATTCACCCTTAAAAGGGCGTTTGGCATGTTGTTTTGTAGTTTACACCTAAGCTGCAATATCTTTGCCTTTCGGCCCAACACATCCAATTCCATCAAAATTCTAATTAGTTGCCTCTTATGACATGCTTATATTTGTTAGGGGCAGTGCGTCTATTATTTTATTTTCCCTCCAAAACGAGGCTTCAGAACACACCCTGGGGAAATGCTGCTATAACAACAAGAGTAATTGTAAGGAACCATAGCGATTAGTGCATTTGCAAAGGTATCATTAATTTTTCTAACTAGATACCGTACTCTTTTAGAAAATAAAATTAATAAAAACACAATCACATTCAACCTGTTGTTGGTAGCTGAAGCTGCCAAAAGTCTCCGGTTATGTTTGTGTATTTGCACCACTTTCGTGGCTAAGATTGAGGTATGCGCATCAGCTTTCTGGCTTAATATTCCTTTCCTCAAAGACCACTCCTTCTACCTCCTGTTCTTATCTTCCTGGTTTCTTCATGGGTCATCCTTCATCCTGTTTCTTATCTTTGTTATGCTTGTCCTTGTGTGCTCCATTCTTTATCCAAATCTGTTCCCTTCTATTCTGGCCCTGCCTCTTGAGCAGATATACTCCGACTTCAAAAGATGATGTCGATCTTATCTCTAAGATGACCAGCTGTTGTTTTGTATGTGTCTTTCACTTTGATTGTACGCTGTCTTTCAGACTGCTGTTTGCCTATCTCTTGATGTTGCCCTTCCACTTGTATTGCTGTCTACCTCTTACTTTATACACGCACCCCCCCCCCCCCCCCCCCCCCCTCCGAGTATGGGTTTTAAGAGTTTTACGTCGTTTAATGTGGCTAAAATATTTCTCTTGTCTTTTGTTTTTTTATATTTCTTTCACCGACTCCCTTTTAGAACCTCTGTATTTAAATGTTTTTGTTCCAGTGAAATGCAACATATTCTTCTGTATATCCACCTCTTGGTCTGTACAGTTTTCTAGTTGTTTGTTAAATTTTCAGGTCTCTGCTCCAAACATTAGAGTTGAGTATACATAGCATTTGACATTTCTTTTTTTTAATGTGTTGTTTCACATCTGGCAACAATTAAAGTGATTTGTTAACATGTATATAAATTTATCTGGTGTTGTATGTGTATAACGGTACCTAATATAATTTATTACTACATATATAACAACACATCAAGTCGTTTGTCTCCATATATATATATATATATATATATATATATATATATATATATATATATATATATATATATATATATATATATATATATATATATATATATATATATATATATATATATATATATATATATATATATATATATATATATATATATATATATATATATATATATATATATATATATATATATATATATATAGATATATATAAACATCTTATGTCATTTATAATAGCATGTAGTATAATTTATTACCATGTATACAGTAACATATACTGTAATTTATTATCATGTGGTACCATGTGTGACTTCCGGCTAAAATGGAGGAAAGGCTTGGCAGAATGTTAAGCTTTGAAGTTATTTTTGCTTCCGACAGCGCTTTGCTAATGCAGTTTCCACATAATGACGGTAGTCTACAGTTTTGCTGCCTGATCTACAGAGTTTAGTGCTTGGGTGCTCCCTGTGAGCTGTGTTTTTCCAGTGGAATGCCTTTCATTTGTGCAGCGGTTGTGTCGTGGTGTTCAATATGGCCAGTAGCCGGTTTGCATATGAGCTAGCGAAATACATTATGTAATAATTATACATGTGTACAGTAACTAGCTTATCATGCCCAACTACTTCTATCAATGACAAACTGCATTTCTGGTGATGATTGTTCACTTTGGTGGCTCTAGCAACTGAAATACGCATTTACTGCGTGCGCATACTGGATTGTTCTGGGACTAGTTGTTTGTCACCAGTTTTTCAAATGTGATAGTGAGGGACATTTGATTTGATTTGATTCAAGAATCGACATCACAGCACTCGGGGCATTCCCATAAGTGCTCCGTCCCCATCTTCAGCAGCCAGCGAAGAGTTCCGATACTAATAGTGCCAGTAGCATTCTGATTAAACATCCATCTTGCCTTTCCTCTGAGCCTCGAGCATCTGCCAGAACCTCTCGTCACTCCCCGCTGCATCAATCTCATCAGATTTGCACTGGCACAGGAATGGAGCAAGTATGGGGAAACCCAATTGCGTAGATGTTGAAACCTCGACTAAAACTAAGACCATGTGTGTGTATAAAACCATTCTTAATGTTATTTCTCTTGTTCTCATGAAATCTTTTGCTCTTCCAGTATGATGACACTGAAGTGGAGATCATGAGGTACAGTCTGGAGAGAAGGATCAACTCGGTGCTGCCAGAAAAGCCAAGTCGACAGACCAAACTTTACAAGTAAAACAGATTTGGCTTCTTTTATCAACTGTAGGATTAAACTCTGACTCATGGCACCACAAAAAACTGACTTGACATTCTAGATCATCCCAGACTGAAATGGGTACCAGAAAATGACTGAGAAGTAAAAGCAACTGGCATGCTATTGACCTCATCACCTATCAAGTGCAAATGATCATTTAAAATAACATGCCAATACTTTCTTCTTTTCTTCTTCACCAGCTGTAAACTCTGGCCAAAAGTTCTGGATGTTCATCCACTTTCAGACTGCAGTCCTGTTCCAGAACCTGAGTGTTGCATTTGCATCTGTTTTACAGATCTGACTCATTTGTATGCCGACTGCTGGTTCCTTGCCTCCCAGGCAGATGCACTCTGACTTTGGAGGAAGCTCCCAATTAGTCGACTCTTACGACATGCTTTAGGGTGGGCAGTGGGTCTGTTCTTATTTTCCCTTAATAGAGCCCCGGAAACCACATGGGGAATGCCAATACTGTACTGCCAGAGCATCAAGGCATGAAAAGAAAAGAGTCTCTTCTTGCCTTTTGTCACCATTTATATGGCATGCCAGAGAACAGTTGAAGTGATGGGATTTTTATACTGCTTCCATTAATAGGCAGAATTAAACTTTTGTTACAGAGATCCAAGTGTTTATGGACTTATATGCCTACTCATACTATGCATTTAATCACATTAGATATTTCTGCCAAAATGGCCACATACTAAACAAGAAAGAAGTAAAACAAAAAGATAATGTCCTATTATTTTATGGGTCACTGCAGAACCAACACTATAATTTTGTGGCTGTTTTGTTTTACTAGGCAGTTTTAATGTTCAGTAGTTTGCTATTACTCCTGAATAATCGGCACTCCATACATATGTCAATTTCAACACAACAGAGTTTGCTGCCAAATCAAATTGAACAGTGTATTTATGAATTACAAGCATGTTTGCAACACCTGAACTATGTATGCTGACAGAAACCAAAGAGAATCTTCATCTTATTGATTGAGGGAACAGGTTATGGGCCTGCTGTCGGTCATCATTACCATCACCAGTCTTCTTCTTTGTGTTCATTGGCTGTAAACTTCAGTGGAAAGTTGTGGACTTTAGTCTTTTGTTCCAGAACCTGAATGTTACGTGCACATCTGTTTTACATATCTGACTTATTTGTATGCAGATTGTTGGTGTCTTGCCTCTCAGGCTGATTCACTCTGACTTCAAAGGAAGCCACCAGTCTGTCAACACTTACGACAGGCTAGCTGGGAAGGCAGTGGGTCTATTCTTGTTTTCCCTACAATGGGGCCTTGGAACCCACACAGGAAACCATCACCAGTCATGTTAGGGATCTGCTGTCAGTAAGCTGGCATCATCATCATCATCATCACCAGTCAGCAGGTCCTTTACAGAACATTGATGTCTACCCAGCATGCCTAACAGTTTTTCTTTCTCTAGCCAATTTTCTAGCCCTATGTGCCTTCATAGGCACTGCCTCTTTAATGTCTTGCCTCCACTTTCAGGGAGGTTGGCCTCTCCCTCTTTTTAAAGAAACTGCACCCTCCATCACCATTCTCTCCAGGCCACTGTGACGTTTAACGTGGCCAAAAAATCTCAGCTGGCATCACTTTTTGATTAATCCTGCCCAGTGTAGCTAATCAGAAAGCATCCAGCTGTTTGCTTGTATCATCCTAATTTTCTGATGGGACATGTTTAGTGATGGCTTCCCAGCCTGCATGATTGTGAATAGTTATATTTGGTGTGTTAGATACCTGGCTGATCCTGCAGGATGCAAAAGTGAGAAAAAGCTAAAGATCCCTTTTCACGCCTTTAAGCATATTGGGCATAAGGGAAGAGCACCCATATTTTTACAGACCATCGTCACAAAGTAGGTAATATGTTCAGCATTACGACGGCCGTCTTTACTTCCCCAGGACAGCCATCCTGGTACCCATTTTAGGCTAGGTCGACCTGCGACGCCCCATACCATGACAAAAATCCATGCATATAGCTGTAAGTTTCGATCGTGGTATGTTGGAATTATGAGCGGGACTCATAACACCTAAGCCATGGACGCCGCCATGCAAGATGACAACACAAAACTGACCAGCATGGCTATAAAAAATAACAAATGTGTGAAGAAGTAGGATGTGTCAGCTCAAAGAAACACATTTTACTGTTATTCTGTAATCATGTACAATAAATTTACACCCAAAAACAGCTGGAGGAATGAAGAATATATACTGGTAATAATTGTGTTAATATTTATTCATAAATGGGGTGTTTATTCTGCTTTGTCTTTGACTTCTGTTATGCATGTCAGGCATGTTTTAGTGTTTGTACTCATTGTTTCTCTGCCATATTCCATAATTCTTTTTCTATACATCTAAGCTAATTGTACCCCACTATAGCCAAGATATTTTCCTTTCCCTGTTTAAGAATATTTACCTCATATTTTGCTGTGAATTTTTTCAAATTATTGTAGTCTTGTTCTTAAAGTGTTCAGATTATTGTAGTCTTGTCTAAAGTTGTTCAAATTATTGCAAAGTCTTGTCTGAAATTGTTCAGATTACTCTAAAAGTTCATGCCTATAGGTATTTGATGAATACATTTGTCCCCACAGACAAAAACAACAAGAAAAAGAAATCCAAACCAAGTTCGAAAAAGAGCACACTCGATGTGTCAAGGCTGCAGAAGCTTTTATGAAGGTATTGATCGTTAATCTTTAAAAATCTGGTGAGCATTGAATCTTTGACAATGAAGAAAAAAAAATAGGAGTTGAAAAAGCAGCTAACAGAAACTGTCTTTGAAAAAGAAACTATCTTAATTACACCTCTTGACAGCTGTCTCTTTTTATTTTGTCAGTAATACAATAATATTAAATATTAAACACATAAATGTATGAAGCAGAAAGTAGTAGCTGACAAAAATGAATTACTAATAAACTACTAACATGCATTAACTGATATCATATTAACTCTTTCACCCTTTAAGAAACTTTAACCAATTTTTTTTCCTTTAAACAAAAGTATTTTAAAATTTTCTTCAACTCTGCCCAATGAAACAAGAGGAACAGAAGAAGAAGCAGAGGAAATATAGAGACTTGGTCAGTTTTTATTAAAAAATCTGGGTTTTCACAAGCAAATGTGAATGCCACTGACTGACATGGCCGTCAAATCACTACAGTAATTCACAATAATGTTTTTATTTTCTTTTATGAGGAAATATTTATTTTCATTAAGGGAATTAATCTCTAAATATAAAGGGAGTAAAGAATTTACAGTTTTTGTTCCCTTAGACCAGGGCTATTCAACTCGCGGCCTGCAGGCCAAATGGCCCGCGGATCAGCTGCCAATCGTGTTGTAAAAATTATCTTTCTGTGCTAGGATTGCGGTCTCTGGTCCAGAATAATCTCTATTTTTTACCATTTTGGCCCTTGAGAAAACTTGGTTAAATGGCCCTGCCAGAATATGTGTGCAATAAACATACATGCAATATATTTACACTCTAATATCTGTGATTTACAGGCTCTGCACAAACACAATCTCCAGGATCAAGTTGTTATCTCCAAAGACGAGCTGAGGAATGCATTAGAAGATGTAAGATGCCACAGTTTGTTGTTCAGTAGTGATATGTGTGATACTGTTGAAAGTTAACTGTCACCACAGCACTCCAAGTGTCCCCAAAATTGCTGAACATAATTATTTTAGTTAAAATAAAGTCTGCCTGTGTCTGTGACCGCTAATTAGTTTGATTTGATGTCAGCAAGAGATCAATAAACATAGATAAGGGGGGGGGGGGGGGTGGGAGTGGAGGTGAGGTATAAATTGGAGTAATGGAAAGAGAGATAGATAAAGAGTTAAGTTGCTTGAGAAGCGGAGAGGAACCAAAATGGAGGAAGCATGAGAGAGGAGTAGGTAAAGAAAGGGGGGAGGAGAGAGAAATTCCTGTGGTGTGCTTTGGTCTGAAGCCATATTTGACTCTGGAACACCACATCTGGACAGATTCCATAATGTTTGGCTGTTTACATGGTAATGGACACATCCAGAACCGTGAGGTTATGACATAATTACGGTGTATTCTTCTATCTGTTTCCTTCCTTCTGTGACTGTCAGTCAGCATCAGTACATAAACATTTGCTTATTATACTGTTTCTACAGCCTAAGGAGTTCCCCACCTATTTATTCGTGAAATTATAGAAGCATCTGCAATAAACATATTGGCACTTTTCCAGCTTTCCAGGCAATAGTCTTACATTGCGCTATTAGGAGAAATGGAACTCGCAGGCCACGTCGTTGACGAGGGTGACTAGCAAGACCCGCCAGCGCTTAGAAAAATCTTTCACAATTATGGCATGGGATTTTAGGACCGTTGTTATCAACATTTGTATTTAGTCTGTTTCTTTTCAGACGCTCAGTTCTCACGTCATATTTCCTGCATAAACACAATTGAGAAATAATAAGTTTATGCTTTCAATAGGTTTCCTCCTTCTCTGCTGAAGACAAGGAACTTCTTTTTGGACAGGACATTTCAGTGGATGATGCCTTCGAGATTTTAGACCGAGATGGAAATGGCCAGGTATGATATCATGAAATCAGTTTGCTCTGTTCTATGAAGTGTTTGGCTCAGTACCTCTGATTTTAACAAGTATTTTGGGGGGATTTGCTTTCATGTCAACTTAACCATCCAAGGCAATGTGAGAAATGATATTATCAGACAGGTTGTTGGAACAACACATTTATGAATTCATTGAGAAACAGAAAGTCAAGTTGTTTGATCATCTTGTTAGAATGAGGTGAGAACAACTACCAGCACAGGCGTTACACATGGAAAAATCTAATGCAAAAAATAGAGGTCACCCTAGGAGCAAATGGAATGAGGTCATTAAAGAGCTTCTACATTGACATTTAGTGAAATAGCCATTGCTACCCAACAAAGAATGGATCACAAACTGTTCCTCTCCATGGTGACTAATGGGAAAAGTGGAAACTGATAATGATGATGCTTTCCCAAGCCTTAAACTGCAGTTTGTCTACAAGGCAGCAGATTTGTGTCTCTGTTTGTCTGGTTGCTACCCCTTGATCTCAGACATCAGCAACCCTACCAGTAGACTACTATCCACATAGCTCTTACGGTCATTGAGATACAAAGAGTTTGGCCAGATATGGACTTTCATCTGCTGTTCATTTGAATCAGTCATACACATCAAAGTGTGATTGCTGCAGATCTCTCTAGCGGGGGTCTCCATGGCGAAGTGGTCAATCCATCTGCCTCATGCACTTAAGGTCGTGGGTCCATTTCATGGATGCATTGTTTCAATTTATACAGAGATCGGGGGGGGGGGGGGGGGGGGGGTTCTGTGTAAGGAATTGGTCAAACCCCAGTTCATTTTGCGGATGCATTATTTATAGAGATCCCTGGGGATTTTTGCTGGAGCTATGAAGTTTATGCTTTGTGTGACACTCTTGTCTAGATTTGTAGCGGAGTGAGACCAAGCCTATTGAGATCCAACAAGGTGCAATGAAATCAATCCTCCTGACTTTAACAATATCTCTAGCATTTTTGTTTTCTCACAGTGAGAGTTGCATGCTGTCCTCTTGGTGTTCAAAGGTTCTTATCCCGGTCGAGGCAGTTTTTAATATTGACCTGCACTTCCTGCTCGACTCAGCCCAAAAAGAAAAGGGTACAGGGAAATATCTGGAAATTAATAGTGATTGGTTTAATGCTAATCACAATTCCTACTGGATGCTGATTGGTCTGAAACATTTCATCATCAGTTCTCGTTATGCCTAGTGGCACAGGAGGCTTCAGAGAGGACTTTCCATGCTTTCCTGTCCTGTGCAATCTTCAATGCAGTTTTCCATGTCAAAGATGCCACACTCAGGTCACTTTCTATCGTTCGTCTCCATGTTGTTTTTGGGTACCCCTTTTTTCTCTTTCCCTCTGGTATCCATGTGAAAGCTGTTTTGGCAGGTATATCAGGATTCATTCTCATAACGTGGCCAAGCCATTTCCACCTTCTCTTGGTTATCATACTGTCTAGAGTTTCTTGGTTTGTGACTTGAAGTAGTTTAATGTTTGAGATTGTGTCTGGCCAGAAAATTTTGATAATTTTACGTAGACATGTGTGGTGGAAGGTGGACAGCTTGTGTGCATCCTTTTTGGTCATTCTCCAGCTTCTGCTCCATAAAGAAGAACTGGCAAAATGATGCTCTTGTAGAGTCGGAGTTTTGTTCCTCTGCAGTAATTGTTGGATTTCCAGATTTGCCTCATCCTTCTAAAAGCAGCTCTAGCTTTGTTCAAGCGTGACTGTATGTCTTCCTCTGTCCCTCCCAGTAGGGACACCACACTGCCAAGATATGTGAAATGTTCTGAAACATTTGAGGCTAGTTAAATATGCCAAATAAGGAGGAAATAGAACAATTACTTTTTTATACTTTCTATGAAAGCGAACTCTAGAATCCCCTTCTTCCGATTCATCTTTTTAATATTTTGTTTCTATTGAAACCACTGCCTTTCTCTAACAGGTTCCCAGTCCATGTTTTTCTCTAGCCAATAGTTGTCAGAATATACTTAGTTCACCTTGTGTGCCCAACATACTTTGTCGGCATGCCCACTCGTTTAGTAGTGATCCCTTCCTTAGCATCATGGTAAGATATCAAACCAGAAGAAAACTAGAACTGACTGACGTTCAACCCTATGAGGACATCACACCGAGGGATAAACACCCGATAAACACCCGGTGACACAAAGTGTCATCATTCAGATAAGGATCACCCGGGGACAGGTCCCAGAAACCTTGTTTTACCCATTAGGGCCCCTGGCAACAGGCGGAGTGGGGCTTTAAAACAAACAAAAATTGTGTCCAACAATGTGACACAGAGATAACTAGAACTAGTGAGCTTTACATTATGACTGTCAAAAATCACAAGTAAACATTATGGCTACAAAGACTGCATCACCACATGACGTGAATAGATAGTGTTACCATTACAAACAAGAACACACAAAAATCACTTAACTCTGTTGAAAAAAAAAATCCACTTGTTTATCTGACCAGTTGAAGGTCTGGGGCATGTTTGAATACAGGAAATGAATACAGAAAAGGTGTGGAAGACAAAGGCTGTAACTCAAAAATATTGAAAACTTTTTCTTACTTGACAACTAACTAGGAGACAAATAATGGCATTCTATAAGATCTGAACACTGAATAAAACACTTAGAAGGAGATTCACCATCACCCTCTGATGCCGATTACACATCATTTATGACTCACAGTCAGTTCCTCAGTTTTGCTCTGTTTTATGTATGTTTTCGGTTTTATGTATAGTTTATATCCTGGCACTTTTTGGCCTTTCTCATCAACATTTATCTTAGGGGTTTTTGTGTGTGGGATGTCCCTGCTTCTCAGTCCATTTGTTTCCCATTTCAGTGTCTGTTTTTTTTTTAATTCTGTCATTGCGGCATCACAGAATATATCCAGTATATAGCCATTTTTTGTATTTTGAAAAGGAATTTAGTCTACAGTTGTCTGAAACACACGGTTAGCTACAATTGTCAACAGTAGTATCGATAGCCAACTATTCAAAAAGCAGGGGCAAACTACTAAATATGAAATTGTGTAGTGAAATCGCCAGCAGCCCAAAAAATATGCTAAATTTGGTTCTGCAGCATTCTGTATGGGACATATAACTAACTTTCTCCGTGGCCAGTCAGATTCTGATTTCTAATTTTTGTGTGCGTTGTTGTTGTTGTTGCTTATTTTATCTGTTGCCACCAGATTGCTTTTTTGGAGCTTCTGCAGTTTCTTGAGGTCAAAGGCATTAGAATGCAGGTAAGATTTTGGTAACATATTTGCATGATTGTGGTATGGGTGTGTGTGTGAAAGAGAAAGAGAGAGAGAGAGATTGGGACATAGTTTTAGTAATCTGGTAATCTGGAAATCCTAGTTTCAGCTTCATAGCAAACGGGTCACCCCACAGTTGCTCTGCTCCTGTGCCAACGAAAAACAAACGCAGCTCACAGTGTCACACCATACACTCAGCTCAGAAGCTGGGCGACGAAACTACATCCTTCCAGTCTACAAATGGAGCAAAAATGCAACGGCCACCGTCTGGCAGAAAAAAAAAATTTGCCACGGCTTAAAAAAAAAAGGTGGCTGTGCTTAGCGTCCATTTTGACCGGAAGCATTATATGAGGGTTAATAAAAGGTCACCCCAGCAGTACCCTCATTATTAGCTGGGGAAGGGACTTAGGACATTACATTCACTAGCAGGCTTCGCCCCTACAACGACCTGCCTGCCATCGTTAACGACTGTTCACCCAACAGCCATGCAGTTCTTTGGCACGAAGGAGACACCTTGAACTTGGGTTTCGGTCTGCCGACTCCCTACAAGATGTTATTTTATGTTTTGTTATCACAATTGATGTCACTGCACATTGGGCATACACTATAGTATTAGTGATTGTAGTGTGTACTGTGACTGTAATGAGTAAGTGAGACTGATATGAATGAGTGACTGTAATGTGGATGTGGGTGTGAATCTGTGAGAAAGAGAGAGAGAGATAGAGAGAAAAAGAGAGAGACTTAGATGTATTAGTGATTTTTGTGTTTGTGGAAGGGGGGGAGGGGGGTGTGCCTGCATGTTTGTGTGTGTAAGAGAGAGAGAGACATATATTTGGGCATGGTATTAGTGATTTGAATGTGTAAGGGGGTGTGTTTGTGTGACTTTGACATATGTATGAGTGATTGTAATATGTATGTGTGAGACTGTGGTAACGAACACAGTTGATTGTTTCTGAGAGGGTTTCCTTCACTCAGTCAAGAATGTCAGAGGTCTCAAGAGACAAAACATTCACCTTCCTCAGACACGTATTCAAGGCTACGGCAGGATCGAGGTCAACAACCTGGTACAATTTATCTCAGCTCTGCAGAACACCTGGACAACTAACTTGAAAAATATTTATGTTGGGGTAGGTCTGTTTGTGTGTTAGTCTTCCTATCTGATTGTCTATTGCTGCTGTCTGTGTGTGTATGTGTCTGTCTTTGCCTGTTTGTCACCAGTGTTTATGAACATAGTAAACATGTCTGTCTCTTCTGTCTGTGACTGTATGTGTCTGTCTGTCCTTGCCTGTTTGTCACCAGGATTCATGAACATAGCCAACATTCCAACCAGTCAAAAGAATAACTTAGGTGGGTTTAAGGTGGGTTTACCTCCTGATCCTTTAGAAAGATTTCTTGCAAAAAACAACAACTGATCATGCACTGACCTGAAAAGGATGCCTTGTTTTTACTCTGTCACCTTGTGAAGCATCAAAACCAATACTTCCAGTTGGAGTCAGTTCCCCTTAAATGTCACTTTTCCAATTTGTCTACTGTGACCCGTTTACAAAATGTATATTTAATGCTAGTGGCTGTGTTCATGCCTGCACAAACGTTTTTAAGGTGAGGGTTTTTCTTCAAACCAAAAGGTTTGTTTTTTAAAGCAAAATTGATGCAAAATTTTCCGGTAAGCCTCAGTGATAGAGGTCATAGGGTAAGGGATGAGTCACCTGACACATGTAATTTTCCTGTAAGCCTCAGTGATAGAGGTCATGGAGTGAAGGCATGAGTCACCTGATACATATAATTTTCCTGTAAGCCTCAGTGAAAGAGGTCATAGGGTAAGGATATGAGTCACCGATACATATATTTTCATTTAATTCTTCACTCTATTCCTTTTATTGACAATCCCTTGGAAATAAAATCCGGGGGAAAAAATGCTTTGACCTTTTTCAAATTTTTGTTTTAAAGGATTACCATGGAGCTTATGCCCCACTGGGAGATAAAAAGTAAAACGTAAGAATTACGGAATGTAATCCATAAATAAGCATGCTTGCTTGCCAGTTCAGTGGTCTTAGTTCAAATCCTCACCAAGGCACATTTGAACATTGACCTGAAAAGGTTGACTAAATGTTAAGTTAGCAGGAACAGTCTTGAAAGTCAAGGCAACTGGCATGATTTTGACCCTTCTTCCATGCCTTTAGGCTTATTGGGTATTTACTGCTAGATCTATAAGGTTTAGACCAATCAGCACTCAGTGGGTGATATGCTCAACACCTTGACAGCCGCCTTTATTTTCCAAGACTTTACCTGGGTCGATTTGGGAGCCAAGGTCATGTCTTAAAAATTCCATCTCTATGTGGATTTGAATCCATGACCTTCACATCTGCAGATGAGCGTCTAGCCATTACACTACAATGGCTCCCCAAGTAATCTGGGACCAACCAGTGTTGCCATTTTTCTTTGACAAAAATATCCAGAATGGAGTATAAAAAATATCTAAAAACATCTAAATTTGCATAAAAAACATCTAGAAAAACATTCAAATGGAAAGAGTCACAAATTACATAGCAATTGAAATGACTTACCCTATAGAATCATGTCCTCATCTTTACTGAAGTCTGCCTTACCAGATCCACAGGATAAACTTAGCTTGGATGTTGAAGTTGAAGCTTCAGATCCAAAATGATTCTGGTATGCTTTGCTTTAGCTGTTCCAGATTCTTTTAATACCCAATCAGGGAGCTGATAAGTGGAACAGCCTTTTCCTACTCTTATCAAGCAAAATTTTATTGTCAATATAGCATTTAAGAGGTCAAATTTCATCCTGTTTTTTAGGTTAGATTTGATAAATTCACTCTAAATGAAAAACAACTAGAAAAACATCTACCATCTAAATGTCAAAAGCGACATCTAAATGCAAGAAAAACATCTAAATCTGGATGTAAAACATTCAAAGTGGCAACTCTGGGACCAACATTAAATACCAAGTACATCACAGACCTGGAAACAAATGCTGTACTAATTATTTTCTTCAAGAGTTTCTTTGTGAATGAAGAATGTACATCAAATAATTTTAGAATCAACATCGAAAAGACAGAAGACATGTCAATAGGAAGACAGGAGCAGGATTTAAACATGGCATTAGAGCATACATACATTAGACAGGCATCTGAGTTTCAAATATCTTGGAACAACATTCACTGAACATGGTAAATTGGATGTAGAAATAGACTTCTGATGCAGTAAAGCAGGCAAAGTATTGGAACAGCTAGCCATCCCCCCTACCCCTTTACAGTGTAAAGCAATCCCAATCAACACAAAGAAACATACAAAGCATATTCATTCCCACCCAGTGCTACCAGCACCTGACATGGTCAATCACAACAAAACATAAAATTAGTAACCATGGAAATGAGATGTCTGAGAACAACTGTAGGAGTGACCAGAAGAGATAAAATCAGGAAGTCATATGAGATAAAGTCGACACAGAAGCAATTCAAAATTACATACAAAGACAGCAAATCAATGGTTTGCCCACTTGGAGAGAATGCCTCCTGGTGCTATACCATACAAGGCATATACCAGAAGAGAAGGATATAGAGCAAGACACTGACCAAGAACAAGATGGGAAGATAACATCAGAGAAACTTTACAGCACCACAATGTGTCCATGGTTGTAGCAGCCAGAAGAGCATGAAGCAGGACCTTATATCTCCACCCGAAGCGGTAAAAGAGGACGTAAAGAAAAAGAAGAGTTTCTTTAAAATTTGATATTCATTTGAATTTAGACATTCAAAATTGTTTGTGTATTAGAACTTGACAACTGTTTATAAAAAATGTGTGTGCCCTGACTTGGTGAGTAATGTTTGTGTCATCCTACTTGATCCCACGCAGGATGAAGATGTTCACAGAACTGTTGGAATCAACACAGGTCATGTGGGGACATCCAACTATGTACTTGAGGAGGAGGATCGGACATTTCTGATTGAGGTAATATCCCTGATTTCACAGCAGCTTTTTTTTGTTTGAAAACAAAATGTCAAATGTGCAAGCTGCATACACATATAAGTTCACACTGAGCAGATGCAAGAAGTGGGGCAGCTTAGAGGTTGTGTGGTTCACTCTGACTGAAGTCCAGAAGTGTATGAACAACCAGAACTTTCCCCTGCAGTTAACAGCTGTTGAATGCAAATAAGAAGATGAAGAATTGCGGCAAAACAACACAAACTTTTTCCTCATATTTTCTGTGTTTCATCTCTCCCAGTGCAGCACAGGCTCTCAGCCAGTTCATGCCAAACCTTTTGTAGACTTGTTCATGATTGGTCAGATTTTGCAGTTGAAGTTTTTTATGGAGTAAAGCAGCAGCTTTAGCCACACACACATGCAAGCACACACACACACGTGGGCACGCACGCACATATGCATGCAGACAAACAAAGATAAGTGTGCATGTCTCCCCCCCCCCCCACTTTTCTGGGCTGATTGCGGACAACAAAACCTCAATCTGGATGGAGTAACAAAGGGTCATATCCAAGATACCCTGATCAAGTTTCAGATAAGTTACAATTTGACACCCATATTAGTGACACCAGCCTGGTGTAGGCTGCAGGCCTGTGAGGGTAAGAATGGTATGTAATATAATACCCTAAGAAAATAGATATAATTTCAGCTAAAGAGCCTTAGCTGTAAACAATGTATCAAATCTCAGCAAAAAAAAACATCTTGACCCAAACAACATTCTGAGCTTAAAGCAGACAGTTTGACCACTCTGCCACGAAGACCCTTGTCTAAATTTTATGTTTTGTTCCTTTATTTCTTTATATTATATTTCCAATTGTCTTTTTATATTCCATTGTTCTCTGTGTTCTTTATAGATGTCCCACGTCTGCTTTTATTGTCTCCCTTTGTTCTTTTTTGTCTGTTCCAGAACTTCCATTATTCTTTATATGAGGGTAAATTAAAAAGTAAACACAATTTTTTACAAAACGTCTTTATTTCCATACAAGAAAAATAACTACACATATATAATTTTTCCACATATGCGTCCCACATTAGCCGGTTTTTGTTTATCATGCAATCAGCTTCAGTATCCTGGCTTCGAAGAAGTTTTTTGGTTGCTTGTGAAGCCACATCTGCACCTCCTGCTGGACCTTGTCATCTGACCTCAACTGGTGACCACACAGGGTCAAAGATGTGGGCATCCAATGGCACTAGAACAGGGCTGTGAGAAGGATGGAGAAGCAACTCCTACTTGCACATTGCTCCATGTTCCAATGTGGTGACATCAGACACACCCAGTCTTCATTTATTGCTGCTAAAACACAAAAAAGCCTTTACTTTCTTATTTACTTTTCTGTCTGTTAACTCTTTGAGTCCCAGGGGGTTTAGCATCAGAGGTACAAGGGGTGGTAATGCCATTTTTTAAATTTTATAAATGTAACACGTTAAAACAGACCATACTAATTAAATTGCCACATACATATATTATATATCAAAGTGACCAGGGATTGTTAAGGAATAATTATAGAATACAGCTATAACAAATAATTCTGTTAGTAATTAAATATTAGTAAATAAACAGACAGTATGTTTACAAAAATTAGTACAATAAAATTTTTAAAATTTACTTATTACCATGGGACTTAAGGAAAACTGGTTAAAATATATCCAAAATGATTCACAAATGAATATGAACCACTTAGTAATGTAAAAGTAAAATATAAACTCAGTCCATACATTAGACTTTGTTCCAGAAAATCTTTTAAAGTATCATAACAGAGCACCATTATTTGGTAAAGAAAACTGACTCCCAAAACAATAAGTATCTTCACACAAAACTAAGTTTATATAACACTCAATTTGCCTGTAATTTTGTAGCTATGTTTCTAAATAATAAGGGAAATAGCACTAGAACTAACTGGCACTGAAGACTATCGTCTTTTTACCGATGTTTATTCTGTTTGTGTAAGCTGTCTTTGCTATTGTTGTACCTTTTGCGTGAGGTACACATTAGACGTATCCCTAATCAAACTTTGACTCTTTAAAGACTGAAACACATCTAATTTGCAACGTTATCTAACTTCGGATAAATCTAAAAAACATCTACTTTTTTTTAATTTGAGGCTTCTAAAGCCATAAATTATGTTGGCACGCATGTAGAATACTGCTTGGCGGTCATATTCTTTTCAAACAAACACATAGTAACTCAGCAAACCTCGCAAATATACTATATTTTCGGCTTTCAGACAACATTTCTAAACAAGCATGCCTCATATCAGACACAAAGAACTCGAAAGGAAGTTAAAATTGAGCGGTCAGCGATTTATTGCCGGTCAGTGGTAGATTTAAAAACTTCACATGTCATGTGTCGATTAGGCTGCCTGGTTGTAACAAATTAGTGCATAATGTGTTCCCTGGGACTCAGAGTTAAGTTACTCCATTCATTCTTTATGTTTTTGTTCTATTGTTCCTTTTGCTGTTTACATAAATCCTCCATCATTCCACTGTTATAACTCAAATTGTTTTCTGTCCTTCAATATATTTCAGCGTGGATACAGTGCCACCATGGCTTTCTTGAGATATTTCGTGACTATGAACCCTAATTTGGTGAAGAAGAACTTGAACCACAAAGACATTACAGCAGAGATTGATGAGACGGAAGAGCTGGAGTTCACAGGAAAACAGCACATTGAGAACAAGAAAAGTAAGTTAGTTTTCCCACCTGCCATAGCTTGAAGACAGCTGCAAGACAGAGTATTGATTGTGGGAACATTTGTGGATTTTGTAAAGGTTGACTAATTAGAGATGTTTCCTTTGAAGTCAGAATGCATCTGCCTGAGAGGTGAGGAACCAGCAGTCTGTATAAAAATAAGCCAGATTTGTAAAACGAATGTGCATGCAAAACTCAGGATCTGGAAGTAGACTAAAGTCCAGAAGTGAATGAACAGCCAGAAGATTCTGCCAAAGTTTACAGCCAATGAATGCAAAAGAAGAAGAAGACTTGTCCACACTTCTCTGTGGTCATCCTAGAACTTGGCTTTTTACTGGGGGTCTGGACAACCTGGATAAGATCGATGTTTCGGTCAAAGTCAGAACAACTGTGAGATGAGGAAATGTAAGTCTGCACAGTAAGCCAGATCTGTAGACAGAGATCCATGTAACACCCACATCCTGGAACTAGAATAAATTCCAGATACAGACAAGCAGTCACAATTTTCCCATCAGATTTTAAAGCCAGTGATCACACATAACACAATCCCTGTGTCGGTTCCGTGGCTGACTGGAGGAGGGCGGGGGAGATAGACACACTGCGCATCTGCCTGAGATGCTAGGAGCAACAAGTCTACATACAAATTCGGCAGATCTGTAAAATGGATGTGCATGCAAAACTCAAGTTCTGGAACAAGACCAAAGTCCAGAAGTGGATGAACAACCAGAACTTTCTGACAAGAGTTTACAGCTAGTGAACTCAAAGAAGAAAATGAAAGAAACATGTAAATTACTAGTCAATCAATGGTTAAAATATGGGGGGGGGTGAATACAGTCAAGCTAAGACAAGGAATTACTGTGAAATTTGACTAAAAAGCTTAACCAAATAGGGAAGCAGAAAAACATTCACAAAACAACACAAATAACGTAACGTTTCGGCCGGCCAGCTTTGTCAAACATGAAGTTAACTACACAAAGGTAACAATGAGGAGAGTATTCAGATCTCTAAGGGGTGGTATTATCAACATTTAAAAAAATATGATGTAGAATGAATGAAATAAAATAAACGATGGCTAAATAATATAGTTGCAAACAATAAAAAGTAATATTGTTAATATTTAATATAATAGTGGGAATAAAAAGAAAAAATACAAATGTTAATGAGACATAAATGATACTGATAAGAGATAGAATTAAGTAATAATATAAAAGAAAAGAAAAGAAAAAAGAGGAATTAGGGAACCTTTACTTGCGAATCCAGCGACGTAATTTATGCAATAATCTGCAAACGATGCAGCAAGCCATACATTGGGAAAACTGGCAGGAAGCTAGCTGATCATCCTTATTATCTTCTTGTCATTGTGACAGTTATGAAGTTTGATAGTGTGAAATGCAGACAATGCCAGAGCATGTGAGGTGGCTAGATACTTTGACTGAATCATGGAGAAGATACATAAATGACTCAAGTTAGCAAGAAAATGAGAAAACATTGAACCTGGGTGAACTTGTTCACTGACATGGCATGTCGCACATGTTGTTCGCCCATCACAAGGGATGAAGACCACTTTCATATAAAGTAGTAATGATCAATGATTGTGAATACGAAGGTGGTTGATTAGTCCAATATGAGCCTGGATAGTTCTTGATCATTGCGGACAACAGGTGGAAGCCGCAGTAAGTGTGGGATTAGCAGTATGATTCTTTCTAGACTGCCTACATTTCTCTACTTATGCAACCTCCGCTGCCTGGCAGGCCAATGCACCATGCCTGAAGGACGTACGTTATCCAGAATGGTCTTGCGCAGCAGCCTCCCACATCGCTGTGTTGATGCCAAAAGAATTGAGAGCAGTCTTGAGAGTGTCACACATATTTGGTCTTAAACAGCTGAAGAAGTGTTAGAGAGGAGGAGGATGTGTATATTGATTGTACTGAGTAAATCATTCTGACCAGCTTCATATTATTTATTCTCTATTTCAGTGCTGTCTGACAAAGTGAGTGTTTTCTGACCACCATACACACAAGAGCTGCAAGTGAATCGTTACCAACATTCAAATTAGAAAAAAATAAAGGAGAGATCTGGCAGGAAATCTCCAAGCAGGAGAAATAGAAGCTAGGCAAACTTCAAATTCAACACCTGAAGACTGATGCATTAAAGATCTTATAAGAATGTGGAAACCCAAAGCTTAAGGGATAAAGGAAGAAGAAGAAGATGTGCTTTTCATTACATGACACTAGAGATATTCCATATCATAAAAATCGCTGCTGGTACAGACAGTGTTTGTTAATCAGGTTTTAAAGGTGGCCACATGTAATTTTCAATTGTCTGGAAGGAGGGAGAGGAGAAGGATTAGAAGGGGAAAAGAAAGAAGTTGGGGATTTTCTTAGATTCCCTTTATTTTGTTCCCTCCCTTTCCAATCTCCGTTTCTCTCTCTCCTTTTTTATCCCTCTATGAAAGAAAGGGAGAGAGTAGGGAGCATGATAAAGAGAATAAAATAGCAGATGAAGGAAGAAGATCATAGAGAGATAATGAAATGAGATGAGAAAATCTTACAAAGAAGGGGAGAAAAGAGATGATAAGGAGACATCTCATCCCTCTCTAGAAAGGAATAGGGAGACCAAAGAGTGCGATTTCTACTCTTCCTCCTTCTACTCTGTGTGTCCCACTCAAGGGATGTAGACAAAGAAAGAGGAAGATATTCTAAAAATCCCTCTTCCCTATTCTTCTTTCTTGGACATGCTGTCACATATTTGCTATAGATGTTGAGCTATATCACTTTCTGAATAGCGTGCTATAAGTGTGCATGCCAGTGCTGTACTGTTTTCTATTGATGCTAGCTACCAAGTCCTGTGCGGCACAGAAGACTATGACAGTCGCTGACTGTTGTATGCTTTGTTCCCAAGTCATTCCAATCTCTGGGGCCTCTTGTCACAATCTTCAAACTACAGTTCCAGTTTTTTTTTTTTAATTAAAATTTGGTGATAAAAATGGCAGATATTTTACAGATTGTTTCAACATTGTTTGTGTTAAGATAAGTTGAAATGCTTTTGTATGTTTTGCAGACCTAGTGTATTCAGTGTTGTGATTTTTCTGTGATTCTTGTAAATGTAACCTTATGGTGGGGATTCTTTTATGTGTGCAGTGAGCATATTGTTGTACATACAGAGCAGTGACTTGTTCATGTATTTATTTCTCCTGTATTGTTTTTTTCTTCATAGTCTATTACCTGATCCTGCTTTATATCAGTAAAGACCTCCTTTATGTCTATTCTATAAATATTGTTGCCCAAATAAAACCTTCCTTTATGTTTTAAAGACATGCTTAAATAAACATCTCCTTTATGTTTATCAAAATAGTGTGATTATAATTCTTACATTAGGACAGAACAAATTTGACAACTTTTTTTTTTTGGTTCTTAATTAACTGTAAACAGCATGTGTGTATACTTTGTCTGTGTGAAGGTATTTTTTTATTTTGTTGTCCTAATTCCCGCAACCCTTTTTCCTATTTGGCAGCTGCTGATGCCTTCTCTAACTATAAGGTTTTGTGTGTGTGTGTGTGTGCTGTGCTGATGCCTTCTCTAACTATAAGGTTTTGTGTGTGTGTGTGTGTGTGTTGACAGCTGTCTGAAAGTGCCTCCAGATTATTTGACAGATATCACCAGTACAGTCACCACTGTACAACAAGGAATGCACTAGTCAAATATAACTCGCATTTATACATTAGGTTCTGCATAGTATGGTGAAGCTAAACTTTGCACCCCTCAAAATTTAAAATACTGTCAATGCTTGTCCTAACTCTAGACATGAGATATTGTGCATCCACTCATGACATTTTCCCCATACCCAAATCACCTTTCTTACATGAGTGACCCACTTTTTTTTTTTTTGGCTCTCTGAGCTGAAAGACAAAAATTTACACATTCTTTACAATTATATTTCATTGAAAAGTGAGTGTCTTCCTAATGAAACCTATGATTACATTTTACTGGGAACATTATGATATTAGGTAAAGGATCTGTCTGTCTCCCCACATTGCAGCACTTGAGCAGATAGTACTAGTTCCCAGTTTTTATATACCAGCCAATGCTCAACTGGTGATAGGATCAAATTCATCCACGCTAAACCAATGTCCATGAATATTTTCTAGTATTCATTTTTAGGCTGGATCAATTTTGAAAATCCATCTAGATAGAGTCACATCTCCCTAAATGTTTTGTATAGTTTGATTATTGTACTGCTGGTTGATTGCTATTGCAACGCTAAAGACCTTATTGATAATCAATTTATTTTTATATTTGTAAATTTATAATTTACCATTGTGAAGCCTGGTCATTGATTATTATAATGCTTATGCTTTGTGATCATTTAATTCTTGTAATATTGAAAGACTTGGATGTTTTGAAAGAGGCAGAGGCTCAAAGACAGCTTGTCACAAATATCAGAAAAGAAAAGTCAGCATTTATGGGTTATGTTTTGAGAAGGGAAAGATATAAAACCGAACGAAAAGTATATCAGCGTACTTCACAATATAACGAACACAACAAAAACGTGAACATTGCGGCTATGGAGCCTTCTTCAGCACATACATAGATTAGACAATACTACACAAATACACAATATCACTTATCTTGGTATCTCGTGGCAGCCAGGTTGATGTCAAGACAATAGTCTGGCGAGGCACGTGAGGCCACTAAAATAAATATCCGGAAATATACCAGAAGCTGTCACTTGAGGACAAGACGAAACTGTGTAGGCAGTTAAACCCCTAGGAATTAGATGGTGTAGGCAGTTAAACCGCTAGGAATTAGATGGTGTAGGCAGTTAAACCGCTAGGAATTAGATGGTGTAGGCAGTTAAACCGCTAGGAATTAGATGGTGTAGGCAGTTAAACCCCTAGGAATTAGATGGTGTAGGCAGTTAAACCACTAGGAATTAGATGGTGTAGGCAGTTAAACCGCTAGGAATTAGATGGTGTAGGCAGTTAAACCGCTAGGAATTAGATGGTGTAGGCAGTTAAACCCCTAGG